GCTCTCCCTTCCCCCGTTTCCAATAGAGCCGCGTGTTTTACCTTCCCCACGGCCGATGGCGTCGATGCCACCGTTTCTGGTCTCGTCCTGAGAAACCCGGCCCCCGTGCCCCGCATCGCCGGCGCGCATCTCACCGCGCGCGCGTGTGCGTAATGCTCCGGCCTTGCGCGCGCGGGGCTTCCCACGGGCGGGCGGGCGTCTCAGGGAAGAAAGCGCGCTATTGATTTTCCTGTAGCTGCTTGTAACCATTAGAGTTGCTACATCAATGGACAAGGCAAGCACAATGTTTCACGGAGGCAGGAAATCGGAGGCTCTTGACGCCGGGCGGTAAATTACGGCGCCATCGGAGGCACGGAGGGGGTGGGGGTTCCCCTCAGAGCCGGTCCTGGCTTCGGCCGATGCATCCTAACAGAAGGGCGCACGGGTGGCGAGAAAACGTGTCACCCTCTGAAGGGGGTGGGGTGCCATCAGCAGTTCCCTCCCCCTCCTTTCTTTTCCTTTTTTTAAAAAAATATATTTTTTATTGATTTCAGAGAGGAAGGGAGAGGGAGAGGGAGAGAGAGGGATAGAAACCTCCATGATGAGAGAGAATCATGGATCGGCTGCCTCCTGCACGCCCCCCCCCTGGGGATGGAGCCCGCAACCCGGGCCTGTGCCCTTGACCCGGCAGGAATCGAACCCGGGACCCTTCAGTCCTGAGCCCAACCAGCGAGGGCGCCTCGTTGATGTTTCCATCTCTCTCTCCCTTGCTCTCTGGGATCAATAGAAATATACTTTTTAAAAAAACCCACAAAAAGAACGTTCCCTTCGCATTTTTTATTACGGCCGGTGAACGGTGGGCCCGTTAAATAATCAAAGGCGATGGGGTCAGCGGACTCGGCGACCCGGCCGCTGGGTGCGTGGAGATGTTTTGCATCCCGGCGGCCTGGCTTCGGGGAGATAAGAACCTGCCTTCGCAGCTACTTCTTGGGAAGAGGAAGTGCCTTGAAGTTATAATTAGAAGCGATACTGTTACAGTATCCAGGCCCCGGCCCCGTGGATGGATGTGGGTCGGGCTGGACGAGGGCCAGCGCGTGTGGTGAGGCCATTTGTCCCGTAGCCCCCGGGAGGGCCGGTGAGCACAACAATACCCTTTTGTAAAAAAAAAAAAAAAAAAAAGTTTCTTTTTTTTCTGGAAAGAAACTGCTAATCACTTGAACTCTATCCTGACTTTGAGTATCAGGGCTACACTGACGATTTTAGGACGAAACTTGGTCTTTCGGTGTCCGGAAAAGTACTTGAAAACGCACAGGAATTCGTCGTTTAAGCTCCATTTCCTACCGTCGTGCTCAACTCAGTCCAGTCCCTGTAGTTTGTAGCCATTTGGGGAGGGGAGAATCTGCTAATGTTATTATTATATACATGGTCCCCCCCCCCTCCCTGCAAAAAAAAGCAGATACAGAGAAGAAGGGAGAGGGAGAGAGAGAGACATCAATGATGAGAGAGAAGCATGGACCGGCTGCCTCCTGCACGCCCCCCACTGGGGATGGAGCCCGCAACCCGGGCCTGTGCCCTGACCGGGAATCGAACCCCGACCTCCTGGTTCATCGGCCGAGGCTCCACCACTGAGCCACACCGGCCGGGTGGGTCACAGTAGTTTTAAAGACTTGCAATGTGATGCTAACGGAAAAGAAATCTGGGTCTTACCAGGAAGTCTCCCATAAATGGCAGTAAGACGAACAGAAGAAGTGTGTTCTCTTAGGACCAACAAGCAGAGAGAAAGGCCTAGTTCAGAGAGGCTGTGCCCGGGACATGGCGCGGGTGGCGCGCACGCAGGGCACCGTCCTTCCCCCCCAGACGAGGCCCAGTCGGCCGATCGATGGGAGGTCAGCTTGTCACTCAGGTCACCCCGACCTGCACGGAGCTCGCTGTGCCCCGGGGAAGCCGGCGAGCCCAGGTATGCGAGACCGTGTGTGGCCGCGGGCGACAGGCCTCCCGCCACCACGGGGACAGTTTCGGATTCCGTTCGAGAGGACGGCCGAGCAGCAGCTGGGACTCATTTTGCAAATGACGCAGCGACGCGGGGAACCTGCATCCGGCTGCTTTCCTCTGGGGGGACCCCAAACGCTTCGGCTCGGACCCCGACTCTGCAGCCCCCTCGCTGTTCGTCTCATCCAGACACGACAGGGGGTTGGACTTGGGGACACGGCGGGTCCCTGTCTCAGGGACAAGCCTGGGATTCGCCGTGTTTTCAGGGCTGAGGCCAGAGTGTCTGGGAAAACCCAGGGAGCTCAGGGGTTGGGGGGACTGGGGACAGGGCCCCCCATGGAGGCTCCCAGAGGTGACCCCACGCCCAGCTCCCCAATTCCTGCCCCCCACTATTTTTTCCCCGGTGCGGTATTTAGCGAAATGACAACATGAAGAGCAACACCCGAAAAACAACAACCAGCGCTATTTCTCAGGCGGGAGCTACCCCGAAACGGCCCGAAAAGCCGCGATCCCGGCTCTGAGCCTCCTGCCGGCGGCGAACCAACGGCCGTGCCTGCTCCCGCGGCCGTAAATCACGTATTGATTAAGTCCAGGCTCAGAACCCCGCGTGAGTGATCGCTGGGCCTCGCTAAACTGCTTCGCTCACCGAAAGCAGCAGCAGAAAAAAACCCCGCACAACACCCATTACCGCGCGTTTAATTAAGACGCGCACCCGCTTTATGTGCCATTATCCGCGGCTGCGCTCTCCGCGCTGTAAATATCGAGCGGCCGCGTGGCCCGCATGCTAATCAGCGCTCCCGCCGCAGGGCCCAGGCCTCGCCTCGCCTCGGAGGGGAGGTACCTGCCGGCCGGGCGCCCTGTGAAGGCGTGAGGGGCCCGCTGACAAGCGGCCAGCGAGGGGCTTCCCTGAATTAGAATGTCACGCGTGCGGAGGCGACGACAGAGGGGGGTGGGAATTATAAGAAGAACGGGGTGGGGGGGGGGGACCTCCGTTACTTATGTGACTTCATGGGGAGCTGGGAACCAACACGCCTGGGGAAAGGGGCGGGCGGACATCTACCCAGGAGACTTCATGGGCCAGTGGTGTGTGTGCGTGTGCAAGTGCGTGTGTGTATGTGTGTGCATGTGATGTGTGTGCATGTGATCTAGTGTGTGCGTGTGATGTGTGCATGTGCATGTGATCTGGTGTGTGTGCACGTGATCTGGTGTGTGCGTGTGATGTGTGCGTGATCTGGTGTGTGCACATGTGTGTCCATGTGAGTGTGCGCGCGCGCGTGCACGCGAGCATGTGTGAGCCCACAACCCAGGCACGTGCCCTTGACCGGAATCGAACCCAGGACCCTTTGGTCTGCAGGCCGACGCTCTATCCACTGAGCCACACCGGCCAGGGCCATCTCTACTTCTTCCAACGTCAGGCCCTGAGTCAACGTGTCCTTCTTGCCACTGGAGCGAGAGAGCTCTACCACCCAGATGCCGGAAGGCCCCTCACCCACCCACCCCCGCATGTTGCGTTTCATCACCATGAGACGCGCGAGTCCCCAGGTGACCCTGGGAGGTGCCAGCAAGTGGGCCTACACTCACCGGGGTCCCCTCGCCTCCCCAAGGCTGTTCCGGGGCGAGAGACGGGGGCTTGCGTGCCTGGGACGTTCCTATGGATGGCGGTTAGTCCCGAAAGCGGCGGGGATCGGGCCCCGGCTCGGCCCAGCCTGGGAGCGCGGCCTCCCTGGAGTCCCGCTGTCGCCCTGCACTTTCGGCCCCGTTCCTTCCCGCGATATTGATCCCCGTTCTCCGCACGAGGGAAAAAACAACAACACACAGGCGTTCCCTCCCCGGGAAGCGCCGGCTCCATGTGAACGACTCCTGGCTCCATTGCTTCAGACGCCCGCTTGATGAGCACCAGTTGTGCGGGGACGTCGGGAGGCATTTGCAAACCCAGGGCCGGCACATCTGGCTCGCGCTCCGCGCTGTTATTTCATTTCTTAGGATGCGAGTGCGCGGCCGGCCTGCATAGAGCGGGAGACTAAAGGCAAAACATATGTTGGTCGATCTGATTCCTGCACTTTTTTTTTTTTTTCCTTCTCATCGGAGGAACGTGGCCTCGCTCGGCCGCCGCCTGCCAATACGTAATAAGTGGACTCGGCGAGAAGTTTATTTAAGTTTGTTTTATGAGGCCAACCCAATGCAGAAACCAAGGGCAGGACAGGCAGAAAAACCCGCTGCTTTGAAGTCAATAAAAATCCATCTCCTTAATCCCCTTTTTATTGCAAACCGTGCTGACTGCTCTGGGCGGGCTCTCGGGGAACCTTGGTTTCGCTAATCTGTCTTGTTAGTTATCTTTCTTCTGCAAAGCTCCCCGGACGCAGCCTCTTCCCCCCGGACAGTCAGCATCTTCTCCCCTGGGTACCGGCACCTCCTGGGGAACCCCAGGGAGACTTAAGACACACCTTGCCGGGCGGGTGTGGCTCAGCAGGTGAGCATCCACCCAGGGACCAGGAGGTCAGGGTTCGATTTCCGCTCAGGGCACAGGCCCGGGTTGCGGGCTCCATCCCCAGGGGGGGGCGTGCAGGAGGCAGCCGATCCGTGATTCTCTCGCATCGTGGATGTTTCTCCCTCTCCCTCTCCCTTCCTCTCTGACATCAATAGAAATATATATTTTCAAAAAGAAACAGGCTGTTAATTATTATGATTCATGTTTCGCAAGAATAAACACAGCCCAGGTAGCGAGCGGAAAGAAAAGACTCGCAGAAACGATCCACGGCAGAGAGACGGCTAAACCCTGACACCCTCCGTCCGGCCTAAATGATCTCCACTGAACGTCATGGGATGCTACCGCCTCATCATGGACACGAAGGAAGAAAACTCAGGATTTCAGACTCACACCGCCTCTTCCGCACCCAGCCTGTCCCAGAACCATGCGGACACACAGACACGTTCACGTGGGGGGAGGGGCGTGGCCTCGGCGAACGGAAACCACGCGTGGACGGGAGGACCCACCGAGCCGGGCACCGCGCGCAGGGGAGGCGAGCCCTTACCTAAACTGAAGAGAACCAGGAACTTCAGACACACGAACTCCCGCTGGTCGAACTGCAGGGAGCGCAGCTTGGCCACGAGGTCCTGGGCGTGGCCCATGAGGCTGCCCAGCGTGGCCCCGGCCTGCGCCGCGATGATGGAGTAGTCCACCTGCAACACAGAAGCCCGGGGTGGCGGTCAGGCCCGGCCACGCGCCCGCCGCCCGCGACCGTCACGCCCGGGGGGAGAACCAGGCGGCCGGCCCGGGGCAGTGGCCGCAGACGCCTGCCGGGATGACAGAACGGACCGTGATGGTTCTGATACATCGAAGTGCGTCGATGGCTTTGTAGGGAACGGGTTTTGACGGAATGTTAGATAGTTACTGTACACTTTCTAGATAAGGCGTCCCCCCAAAATGTAGACACACTTTAACCGCTGATAACGCACTTAATTTTGAAAATGAACAGTATGTCAAGCAACACTAATTTTATAATCGTTCAAAGTGTGTGTGTGTGTATATATGTATATATGTATATATATATATATGTATATATATATGTATATATATATATATATATACCTTTTTTCTATTGTGAAATTGCATTGTCACCTAAGATGAAGATTTTTTTTAAAAAAATACATGTTTTTAATTGATTTCAGAGAGAGAGAAACATCAATGATGAGAGAGAATCACTGGTCGGCTGCCTCCTGCACGCCCCCGCAAGCCCACAAGCCGGGCATGTGCCCTTGACTAGAATCGAACCCGGGACCCTTCTGTCCACAGGCTGACGCTCTAACCACTGAGCCAAACCAGCCAGGGCTCTGATTTGATTTATAAGAATAATAGTTTCTCGATTGAGGAAACAAAACAGAAGAAGGCCGATTTCCTTTTCCATTAAAAAAAAAAAAAATGGTGCGGCGATGCCCCAATCCTGGATTTATCGCGGGGACATGGGAAGTTCCATGAGAATAATGAGATGTCGGTGGCTGAGGGGGACCCGTTGCACCCCGATGGGGAGGCCCGGTGCGGCCCTGGCGCCCCGTCCTGTTTGACGGGCGGCCCTGGGCACACGGGTTCCCGCAGGCGCGTTAATATTGCAGCAGCAGCAGCCCTGCCTGGGAGGCCACGCGCTCTGCCCGTCGCCAGGCCGCGTGTATGAAATTTTTATATTTATCGACATTTCATTACCATAATTGACTGCGCTTGCTTCTGCGGGAGACAGACACGGGGCTGCCTCCCGGGCAGGGGAGCGGGTCCCTGGAGTGGAATTTGCAATTGAAAACAAGGCAGGATGGATTTTTTTTTATTGTGTAAATATGATGAGTTGGATTTTCAGCTTCCGCCGGAGAACGGCCGGGTGTCCGGGCACCTCCTTTGAGAGCGAGAAAAAGGGACGCGTCCGTGGGACCACGACCCCCCAAAGGTGTCAATCAGGTGGCGGGGAGTGGGGGGCGTGTCCCGCAGGACGGCCGTGGAGGCGGGGAGCTGGCCGCTGTCCCCTACGTCTGCCCATCAGGGGTCCTAAGAGTGGCCTTGGTTTCTGCCTCTGATGAACCAGGACACGGGCAACCGGCGCCGGAAGCGGACACACACCGCGGGGCCCGAAGCGACTGCCTGCCCAGCACACTGTCGGCCACGTGGCTCAGTGGTTGAGCCTCGACCTAGGAACCAGGAGGTCACGGTTCGATTCCCGGTCGGGGCACAGGCCCGGGTCGCGGGCTCCATCCCCAGTGTGGGGCGTGCAGGAGGCAGCCGATCAGTGATTCTCTCTCATCCTGGATGTTTCTATCTCTCTCCCTCTCCTCTCTTTAAGGATCAACGGAAAAAAGAATATTTCTAAGATGGGGCTCCTTCCATTCTGATCTGTGTGTCGTTCTAACAGGTGTGCAGTGAGTTCCAACACTAGACGGTCACCCTGGCCGGTGTGGCTCAGTGGATAGAGTGTCAGCCTGCGGACTGAAGGGTCCTGGGTTCGATTCCCGGTCAAGGGCACAGGCCTGGGTTGTGGGCCCCATCCCCAGTGGGGGCCGTGCAGGAGGCAGCCGATCCGTGATTCTCTCTCATCATGGATGTTTCTGCCTCTCTCTCCCTCTCCCTTCCTCTTTGAAATCAATAATAAAAATATATATACATATATATTTTTAAAAATGGGGGAAAGAAAGAGCTAGAAGCATCGGGCTGGGGGCCAGGTGTGGGGAAGCCACCCGCCCCCCCTCAGGGGGTCCCCTCCTTCCGCCTGTGATGCTGAAACGCCGGGCAGCCCGGCCCGATCCCCAGGCCCAGAGCGGCCACCACCTGCCCCTCGATGCTTCTCCCGGGCCCTGAGCATCCGCGAGACAAGATGCGCGGAGTGGCCGCTGCTCTTTAGCTGGTAATTACGTCTGCCCAGGGCAGCACTTAAGGGAAAATGAAATGTGAAGGAAGGACCGTTACCAAGGGGCCGGCCGGGGAGCGCCCGGAGGAAGCCGGGCACACACCGTTTCATTTCTGAGCCTCCGAAGGAAATGAAATCACATTAGTTTGTGGGCCGAGTCTTGCTCTTCTAATGCAGCTCCCGGCGGCCGGCAGGGAAGGGGGGAGGGAGGGGGGAGGGCGGGAGGCCAAGCCAGGGACTGGGCTCTGGAAATGGGTCCGTTCGCTGCAAAGACAGGGGTCCCGGGGTGGACACGCTAAACGAAGAATGTGAGCGTCCGGGAAGTCGGACCCACGGAGACGCGATTCCCTCAGGGGAGGGAGGCCGGGGACGCGGGGACGGGGAGCTGCTCGAAATGCGTCCGATTCGCACGAACTCTGAAAGGGGGCCGGCCTCTGGTTTGATGGGGGGGCGGGAGGGGGAATGCTGTTTATTTAAGGACACAGGCAGCGGGCTGGGAGGCGGCCTTTCACGGCAGGTCTGAGCTGCTGTGATTTCACATGAACATTTACGCCTGCAGAAGAAAATATTTCTAAGATGGGGCTCCTTCCATTCTGATCGGCGTGTCGTTCTGACAGGTGTGTCGTTCTAACAAGTGTGTCGTTCTGACAGGTGTGTAGTGAGTTCCAGCACTAGGAGGTCACCCTGGCCGGTGTGGCTCAGTGGGTGGAGCGTAGGCCTGAGGACTACAAGGTTCAGGGTTCGATTCAGGTCAAGGGCACCCAGCTGGGTTGCAAGGCCGATCCCAGGCCCTGGTTCAGGCAACCAATCGATGCTTCTCTCTCTGTGTCTCTCCCCCTCCCTTCCACGCTCTCTGAAAATCAACGGAAAAATATCCTCGGGTGAGGATTAGCAAAACAAACCAACACACACACAAACAAAACGCCATTTACGGCTGGACGCTGAGGGTCCTGGGTGCTGGCAGGGCCTGGCTGAGGCAGAGCTGTCCACCGACGGGGGTGATGCCCGAGTAGGAACAGTGCCGTCCACTCACCAGAACACGGAGTCCCGGCCTTTATTTCTTTTTATTTTTTTTAAAAAATATATTTTTTTTATTGATTTCAGAGAGGAAGGGAGAGGGAGGTAGAAACATCCATGATGAGAGAGAATCATGGATCGGCTGCCTCCTGCACGCCCCGCACTGGGGACGGAGCCCGCAACCCGGGCCTGTGCCCTGACCGGGAATCGAACCCTGATCTCCTGGTTCCTAGGTGGACGCTCAACCCCTGAGCCACACCCGCCAGACCGATGGCAAATTCTGACTCAGTGGTTGTTTGGACCCCTCCGAGCCCAGCAGGCCGGCCTCGGCCGGTGCCTGTGATCCCTGCCCGCAAGGACGGACAGGTCCCCGGTAACATCAGCCGGGGACACGGTGCGGCTGCGAGATTTCCTCCGTCTCCCGCCGCCGTCCGCCCTTTCCGAGCACGAGAGGGCTCCCGGCCCCGCGACGGCCCTGCCATGGGGAACGTGCTTCGTGCAAAGACGCCGCTGGGCGCCGCCTCACCTGCTGCCCGGTGACCAGGGCGATGCAGCCGTCCTTGCCGTGGACCACCTGCCGGAAGAGGTGGTCCAGGATGAGCAGCTCACTCCAGCAGTTCTGCAGCAGCTTCATCTGGTCGTCCACCTGCGGAGACAGGAGGCCGCCCCGTGAGTCAGTGCGCGCGGGTTCCTGCGTCGTCATCACAAAAAAGAATTTTTTTTTAAAAAAAAAAATGATTGATGCCAGAGGGGGAGCGAGGCCCTCGCCGGTTTGGCTCAGTGGGTAGGGCCGCGGACCGCGGAGTGAAGGGCCCCCCGGGTTCGATTCGGGCCGAGGGCGTGCACCTCGGTTGCAGGATCGACCCCTGGGCCTGATCGGGGCTCAAGTGCGAGGCAGCTAATCGATGTGTCTCTCTCTCCCCCTCTCCCTTCCACTCTCTCTCTCTCTCTCAAAAAAAAAGAGTTCATGGAAAAATATCCTTGGGTGAGGATTAACAAAACAACAACAAGCCCGGGCCGGTGTGGCTCAGTGGGTAGAGCGTTGGCCTGTGGACCAAAGGGTCCCGGGTTCGATTCCCGGTCAGGGCACAGGCCCGGGTTGCGGGCTCGATCCCCAGTCCGGGGCGTGCAGGAGGCAGCCGATCCATGATTCCCTCTCATCATGGATGTTTCTCTTTCTCTCTTCCTCCCCCTTCCTCTCTGAAATCAATTAAAAATCATATTTTAAAAAAACCAGACAGAGTTCTAATAGAAACAAAGAAACAACCACCACCACAAAAACAGGAAGAGACAGAGAAACATCCACGATGAGAGAGAATCAGGGACCGGCTGCCTCCTGCACGCCCCGCACTGGGGAGGGAGCCTGGTACTCGGGCCTGTGCCCCGACCGGGGATCGAACCGTGACCTCCTGGTTCGGCTGGTTCTGTGTCGTTTTTGCACAGAAGGCCACTCACTGCAGGCAGGCGGTCTAGGTCCACGGCGGCCAGAGCGGGACGTGCTCCCCTGACAGGCGTTCTTTTCATCTGGACAAATGCTCCTTCGTCCACAGAGAAGTCCTCGGGCTCGGGATTTACGATCAATGAGCTGCTAGGTCAGGAGGGGGCCCTCCATTAGCCCGTCTCCCCAGCGCTCATCGAGCTCTGAGAGTGGGCCTGTGGGGCCGGCGGGCGCCTGGGCCTGTCCTCCGTGGGCCCCGTCGGAATGACCCCAAATAGCCCGCGGGTCTTACGCATCTCGACCGACGCCAACTCATCGAACCCAGGCACCGCTGAGCTGCCTGGCTGGAGGGTTTAGAGCAGCGGTTCTCAACCTTCTGGCCCTTTCGATACAGCTCCTCACGCTGTGACCCAGCCATACAATTATTTCCGTGGCGACTGCATCACTGTCATGTGGCTACTGTGATGAATCGTCATGGAAACATCTGATAGGCAGGATGGTCTGAGGTGACCCCCGTGAGAGGGTCGTTCGACCGCCAAAGGGGCCGCGACCCACAGGTGAGAACCCCTGGTTTATAGGAAAGACAGTTCCCGTGACAGTCCAGAGACTTTCGGCGATGGGGGCGCCGCCATGGTTTGCTGTCGGTTTAAGAATATGTTTTTGTTGGTTTTTGTTTTAGAGAGAGAAAGAGAGGACGGGAACCACTGAGCCACATGGGCTGGGGCTGAAGATGGTTTTTCTTTGGGTAGAGGGGCAGGAGGAGAAAACCCACCTGGACTTTGGAGTGAATTTCCCGGGTGTTGGTGCCGTCCACCCGTGTTCAGGGGGGGCCACCGGGGAAGGGGGGGCCCATGGTGTGGAACTGCTCCGTCTCCCCAACCCTCTCCCCAGAACTAGCCCTCCCACCCCCGCAACCCCGTGTTATCAGCGGCAGTAAAAGCGAGGGCTGATCTCAGCAGCCGCGTCGTCCCCGGGAAACTATTTATCCCGACGGCGTGGACGGCGGACGCGCCAGCAAAGGAACACAGCCTGGCATTGTGTGTGGGCCCAGGACGGGGTTGGGGGTGGAGGTGGGAGGGGGGAGACGAATGTGTGGGTCTGTCTTGAGCCCACAGTCACCCCCTCGCTGTTCCTTTCCGCCATCCAGCCGCCCATCTGGGGTTCGCTCCTGCCGGGGGGCATTGAAAGTGGCCATGGAGCCCGGCCGGCGTGGCTCAGTGGTTGAGCGTCGACCTAGGAACCAGGAGGTCAGGGTTCGATTCACGGTCAGGGCACAGGCCCGGGTTGGGGGCTCGATCCCCAGTGCGGGGCGTGCAGGAGGCAGCCGGTCCGTGATTCTCATCATCCATGTTCCTCTCTCCTCCTCCCTCTCCCTTCCTCTCTGAAACCAATAAAAATACATATTTTTTTAAAAATCAGTGGCTTTGAGTTTGGTGGTGGTGGAATATTGCCAGGGTGGGGCCAACGTTGGTTGACGGCAGTTCGCCTGGGAAATAACTAATAAATAACTAATAAATAACTAATAAAGAACACGGCAGGAATCCCAGGTACAACTGTAAGCCTACGTCTGCCCCCCCGCCCCCCCCCATTAGCTAAACCATGGCCGCTCATGTCTTTACACTTTAAATGATGAGAAATGTGGCGGAAGCATCAAATGGGGATTGCTGAGAGGCGTATTTGAATTACAAATGAGAGTGTGCGTCACTTCAGAGGAGGCAGCTTTGGCATGCACCCCTCAGGACGAAATTCACGGCTTTACGGCTTTACGTTTCCGAAATGCAGTAAGTCGACTGCCGCCAAGGCCCAGCCCTCCCTCTCGGTAAACCTATAGGTAAACCCATGAAAGTTGCTTATGTGGCGACGAAAATACCATTTCATGTTGTCGACGGCCGATACCAAGGGACCACTAGAAGCCTGAGTTCTAAAAAAAATAAACAAAAAAAAACCTGGTAGAAAAATGGTGACTTTTCCCCCTTGAAATGAAAAAAAAAAAAATCAAAAAAAAAAATCAATGTTATTTAAAAAACAAAACGAAACAGAATCTCACAATCTCAAACCTTCTAGACTGCAAAGCTCAGAGGCACGTGTACGGCCTGAGTTTCGTTTCTTGGGTCAGAGCGGGCCTCCTAATTTCAGGAAAAAAACCCCAAAAAACCCCAGCGCGCGTTTCAGGCAGCTTGCATACCTTTTAGCACCCGATTAACGAACAGACAAGCTTTGTAGGCGCACAGCCCGTGCTCTGGCGGCTTCCGTCCGAAGGCTGACCGTGAATCGCTCACGCGGTCGCCACGGGCGCCGCCTGGACGCGCCGGCGCGGGAACTCTCTCTCCCTCACTCGATGCGCCGCCGTCGCGGGTCTGAGAGGCTCTGATGTGAAATCAGATGCTCTCAGCACAGTATTAAAACTCCTTCCGCAGCACGGACTGACTTTTCTGTGTATACGAGACACAACAAGGGCCTGTGTGGGTTTTTTTTTTTTTTTTTTTTTTCAGCTGAATTCCTATTTTTGCAGGTCATGGCTATTTTTTATTTTTATTATTATTTTTTAAATATATATGTATATGTGTGTGTGTGTGTATATATATATATTGATTTCAGAGGAAGAGATAGAAACACTAATGGTAAGAGAGAATCATGGACCAGCTGCCTCCTGCACGCCCCCCACTGGGGATCGAGCCCACAACCCGGGCCTGTGCCCTTGATTGGAGTCGAACCCGGGACCCTTCACTCCGCAGGCCGACGCTCTATCCACTGAGCCACACCGGCCAGGGCGTCACTTGCTATTTTTGTTTTGTTTTTTTATGGGAAACACATCACTAACTGATACAAAGTTTCCTGGTGGGAAGCATCTCGTCACAACAACAGAAAACAATCACTGTTTCGTTCTCAGGGGGCCTTGCCTGCACGGTAAACCCGGCCCTCGAGTCTCGAACGCACACACGTCCGTCCTTTACAAAGTGCGTCTCCCGCACACGCGCCTGCTCTCAGCCTCGGCCCCCGTAGCCAGAGCTTTTCCAAGACCAACGATGACAGACGTCCTCCCACAGACGGGCTTTGGGGAGGGGGGGGACTGGGGGAGCCGTCGCCTGTCACCCCGGTGCCGTCCCTTCCCCCGGGGGGCCCTCTCCGCTCTCTCTGGCATTTAGGCCGAAAGAAAGCTCTGGGACAGAGTCCGTCCACCGAGAAACCAGAAATCAATGCCACCCGCCACCTGCCGGGAACCAGGGGCCACTCCCTCGGCCCCCCGTCCCCTCCCGCCCCCCCCCCCCCCCGCCCGTGACCTCCAGCTCGTCAAGATTTAATTAAGGGCATAATTAAGTCAGCGGCACGGAACGCTAATGAGCGTGTTTCTGTAATGCGGGTAATTACACGCTCACATACATGAGCCCTGAGCAGGCTGGCCGGGGGTGACAGCGCCGGGAGCGTGCCTGGCGGGCGGGGGCCTGGGGCCGGAGAGTTTATGGGGCCTCATGCTGCCTGCATTTGTTATTCTAATTCTGCAACAATAAGCGGACCCCGTAGGATGGAGGCCCTGTTGCTCCCGGGGCTTTGAAGCGTCCCTGCCTCCGGACGGCCTTCTGTCCGGCTGCCGAGGAGCCAGCCCAGCCCAGCCTTGGGCTGCAGGGGCCCCGCCCCGTGGAGGTGGCCCTCGGAGCCGGCCGGGGCCTGGACAGATGTGCAGGCGGCTCCTCCGCGCTCACAATGAGCCTCTCTGCCGCCAGCAGAGCCTTTGATGGGGGCCCGGCTGTGTGAGGCGGGGACACAGCCCGCACCCCGGGGGAGGGTCAGCCCGCACCCCCGGGGGAGGGTCCGGATGACGGACGCGAAGTTGGTACCGTTTCCAACAGGAAAGCGAGGCATCTGGGCTCCAGGCAGCCAGAGGACGCCAACAGCCACAGGGATTCATTCCGCGATCGGGACCCAGCTGTGCGGGGTGGGGCCCGCCCTGTGCTGGGTGTGTGTGTGTGTGTGGGGGGGGTTGTGTGAGCTCTGGTCCCCCCCACGGGGAGCTGGGTGGGTGGGCAGCCTTTGTATCCATCTGTCGCTGCGGTCCCTCAGCGCTCCGAACGATGAGCGAGTCTGAGGCTTTAAGAAAGGTGTGGCTCAGTGGTGAGCGTCGACCTAGGAACCAGGAGGTCACGGGCCGATACCCGGGCGGGGCACCTGCCCAGGTTGCAGGCTCGATCCCCAGTGGGGGGCGTGCAGGA